GTCATGATCTCGCGGTTTGTGAGTTCGAGCTCCACATCGGGCTCACTGCTGTCAGTGAGGAGCCTGCTTTGGGTCCTCTGTCCCCCTCTCTCTCTGCCCTTCCCCCACTTGTGCTCTCTCAGAAATAAATAAAACATTTAAAAAAGTTATTGAAAAAGGTCTTATGTGGATTTCAGACACAGCTGGATTCAGGTGTTCAAATGATGACACCAGTATTCTATCACTTCTCCTAGGAAAGGTTGCCTTTCCTGTTCTTTACAGCAAAAGTCCCAGGCTGGAATTGTATTGGGTTGGCATGGGTCATGTGACCATCACTGGCTCAATCTCTGTTTCCTGAGGGATGGAATGGAGTCTCCATTCCTGGGACAAGCGTGGGCCTTCAGTTCCTTTTGAACCATATGGATCGAGATGAGCAAATGGAGATTCCCTTCAGAAAGACAGGGTGCTCCTGTGAGGACGGTATGAATGGTGGGCGGCATGCCAACCTTGCCTCCTTGTAGTCACTCCATGACCCTAGACAGGATGCTCTCCCTACTGAACTTAGTGGTTGTTTTCTTTAAAGGGGAAAGAGAATAATTTCATTCTTCTTTCTTTCACAAAGATATTTTAAAAGGAAATAAAGAAAAGATTCTTTTAAAAAAGATAAAAAAGAAAACCAAAGCCATAGTCTATCCCACCTCCTCGCCCCTTGTACCTTCAAGCCGGCATCCACGTCAGCCAGGACCTTTCCAACTTTGATTCTTTTGGGTAGGTTGTGTTTACTAAATCCAGTTGGTTCCTGTTCTCAAACCCTGTTCTCTCTGTTGCCAGGAGGCCCAGAAGATTAACAATGGCTCGAGCCAGGCGGATGGCACTCTCAAGCCAGTGGACGAAAAAGAGGAGGCAGTGGCAGCCGAGGTCGGCTGGATGACCTCTGTGAAGGACTGGGCGGGGGTGATGATATCTGCCCAGACACTGACTGGCAGAGTCCTGGTGAGTCCCCAACACCTTCCTCCTCAGGGAGGCCTGCTGTCTGGTCCATGATTGTACCATGTTTCCCAAGTCTTCTCTAAGCTACCCATTATTGGGGAATGGGGGTGAACAGCGGGTCATGGAGTAGAGGCTGGTTCTCTGTGCATGTAAGCCAGAGGTATGAGGGAGGATCTGTAGAGTGGGCCAGCACCTGGGGTGAAGGGGGTATGTTGGGGAGGATGTAGGGCATTTCCTCTGCCAGCAGAGTAGGTGTGTGCATGCACACATACACCATGTGCACACACACACATACATACACACACACATACACACCTTGATAATCCTGGAGAGGAGAAGGGAGTCAAAGAAATTTGTGCTCAAAATTCCACAGAGAACCCATAAATGATAAATGCCAGGATCCATAGAGTTCTCGGCATGTGCCCATTGGCTCTGTCGGGTCTGCTCTGGGTCAGAAGTTTCCCTGAGAAGGATGCTGCATTCCAAATGATTTCTTAATTACGATTCTGGAAGCTGTTTCGTACGGGCTGCCCTTCCTGGGCCTGAAGCTGGGGCTTGGTCAAGACTAATTTGACTCAAAGAATGAATGGGAGTGTCCTGACAGCTAGGTGAACCAAAGATAAGGCAGGGCCATTGGAAAATAGGTGCCACACCCAAAGTGTTTCATGGTGAGAGCTTGGTGAGGAGGTGACGATAGATGTGGGGAGATGGTAGAAGTTTCACCCGTCAGAATCCTTCTTGGGGACAACTCTACGTCATGTTTGGGATGACTATGTCACAAACCGCTTGAGGGAGGGACTATGACACTGAATGTCATGCTCGCATCACAAAGGTGGTGGCCAAACAGCCGTCAAGGAGGACAGGGTTCTGTTAACTGAGGGAGCTTTTGGGAGCAGAGCTTTCTGGAAAGTCCGGAAGCTGTGGTTGATGTTGATTGCTGGCACCATAGAAATGGGAGAGGTTTAAAGCTGTGGTTCTGGAGAGGAGGAGAGGGAAACTGACGAGGCCAGATGCTGCATGGAGGAGGACCTCCCGGGTCGGTGGGACCCAGGAGAGACCGGGTGGCACGGAGCGTCTAATGTGAGATTGTAGGTCGCTTGCCGCAGGCTCTGCTCCGTTACCAGCCTCCTCACCTCCCTGCACAGTCTTCTTCAGCAAAGGCTCCATTGCTGTTTCGTGCTTGTGTATGAGTGGATTCTGTGTGGGAAGCTGACAGAGGGTGAGTTCTGGGTCTGGGCATTCATGGGGAAAGAAATGCAGGCAGTGCATGCTATACCTGTGGTGGTGATGGTGGGTGAGGAACAGCAGACAATTTGGTTGCACAAATGTGACGCCTGTCGCTTCTGCATGGCCACTGTCGACAGCTCTAATTTTCTCCGTCGGCATCAGCCAAGAGTTACCAGAATGACTTGGCTAGGCATTTTTTGCAGCCCTGTGGAAAACAAGGAATGATCTACTTCCATTGCACCGTGGATGGAAGTTATTGAAGGAATGTGTGGAGGAGAAATGCTGAGTACGAGCATCGTGTGGGTGTGCGTAGGGGGTGCTGAGTGTGGGGACACAGGGGCCATCAAGAAAGCCTTGTGGCACTTCACCGGGTGGAGCCTTTGAGCTATAACTTCCATTTCAAGATGAACTGAGCACATGCTTGATGACAGAGAAGATATCAGAGATGGAAGCATCCCTGAGCTTGAAAATAAGAAAGGGACCACTTAGTGGGCCAGAAGCGGAGAAGAATACCTAAATAATACATAATAAAACAGAGAACATTTGAGATGAGCATTGAACTGTGAGCTAGCATCATGAATGTCTACACAGTAGAGGGGGTCATCCCAGAGTGAGGGAACAGTGGCAGCAGAGAAAGGGCGCGGAGCGTGGAGGGAGCGAGGCCCAGGCGGCGAACAAGGAGGCACCTGAGGGGATAGAAGACCTGGAAGATGGGCTGGTGGCAGCTTGTCAGATCTTCAAATGCCCAGCCAAAGAATGCGGACTGAATTTTGTAGGAAAAGGAGATTTTGAGGGAGGGGCATCACGACTGGTGGTTGTGCCGAGAGAAACACAAGGAGACAAAGTAGGGAGCAGATTGGTGAGGCAGGAGCGCGACGTGCTAGGATCCGTCAGGACAGTGAGCTACCCCGCTGGGACAGGCCGTGAGCAGATGACCACAGGGGACCCGCCACAGCCAGGCCTGAATGAGCACCACGCGGTGCAGGCAGGTGGGTGGATGTGGGTGGTGCTAGGGAAGCAGAACTAAGAAGCCAAGGGCACCGGTAGCCATGTTGATGCTACCACTCACGGTAACGTTATCAAGAGCCTCCCGTGAGCCAGGCACTGTGTGAGGCGCTATGCATTATGATCAGGTTGAAGGGCAAGGGCCATGTTGTATTTGTTCCGTCTCTCCCATTTTGCTGTTGTGTTGTCGGGGTTCATTACAAGGAAGCAAGCAAGCGGGTCTTATCGATGAATTTGTCTCCAGTTTGCAGTTGAGGAACCTAAAGCATAGGAAGGGCAGTAACCCGCCGAAGAGCATGCAGCCTTGAGTGACACAGCCAGGCTCGTACCTGCAGGCCTCTGGACTCCCCGTCTAGTGCTCTTTCTGTGTCATTACTTCCCAGGCGAAGATAATGCCTCTTCTTTTTCTAAGCCACTGTCAGCTGTCGCTTTGGCTGTGACATTTTGACATTACTGTCTGAGCCAGTTAGATCCTGAGGCTGTTTGGCCTGATTCTCTTAACATTTGCATGGACAAGCACAGTCTGCCTGCGCCTCTTTGCCCCTGATGCCAGCTGCCCTCTGAAGGTCTCCTTGGAGAAAATCCTGCCCGGGCTGTTCTGGCTCCATCATAGCAGGCCTGGTCCCGCTGCACAAAGAGAGCAGGCGTCTTGGTGCCTTCGGAACAGGCCTCTCCTTGAGGAGAAGGCGGGTGTCTGCTCTGAGTAGGGAGCAGATTTCACATAGAAGTTTCAGTGTGCACGAGAAAGCATCTCTGTCTGTTCCGAACCCAAAGCTGTGTTTGTCTTGAGCTGTCCAAATGTTTATCCTTGCAACAATGGGATTAAAGCAAGACTAGACACCCAGCTGTTCAGAGTTTCCCTATTTAATGTTTAATTTTTTTTGACACCTGGCACAGGAGCTTGGCTGCCACACCTGGGCCCCTTTCTTACCTGTCTCATTGTCACAGGTGAGAGTCTCAAAGCTAGGCATTTGTGGGTAAGGCCCAGGTTGGGGAAGATTCTCCAGACGACCCCAGCACATTTATTGACTCACCTGCTGTCTGAGATCTCTCAGACAAGCACACCATTCATTCAGTGAGTGCTTATTTCTGACCTGCCCCAGACACTATTCCAGGCCCTGGGCATAGGGGATGAGTAACAGAGATCTAGGGGGTGAACTATTTGTATCGATAGACTAGATATAAAGTTGTTGAGCTCAGTGTGAATAAGAATAAATGATAGTCACCACTCCCCAATGCTTTTTATGGTTCACACCTGGAGCTTCAGCATTGGGGCTTGGAATAGCCTGCCTGGTTCTCCTGCCATGGTAGTCAGGCTTAGCTTCATAAAAATAGCAAGACTGGACAGAGTCTCGGAGCACATGGCTGAGGGGTTCTGCATCAAAGTGGACACCAGGCTGGCAAGGGTTACTGCTTCCTTTATCTTTCAAATTTTTTTAAATGTTTATTTTTGAGAGAGAGACAGAGACAGAGACAGAGACAGAGAGCAAGCAAGGGAGGGGCAGAGGGAGAGGGAGACACAGAATCCAAAGCAGGCTCCAGGCTCTGAGCTGTCAGCACAGAGCCCAACGCGGGGCTCAAACTCACCAACTGTGAGATCATGACCTGAGCCAAAGTTGGACGCTTAACTGACTGAGCCACCCAAGTGCCTCTCCTTTATCTTTTTTAAAAATTAAAAATATTTATTATTTTCTGGCTATAAAAAGGATGCATGCTTATTTCAGAACTGGGGAGTATATTGGAAGAATTGGTGACAAAGTCCACTTTGGGACTTGGGGTTGGCCCACACTGAGGGACATTTCAGGGGCAGTAAATGCCACGGAGATAACTCCTAGCTGTTTGGGCGTTGCTGGGACTTTGTTCACTCCATGTCATGTTTTCCCTTGTATGCATAGACTCCGGGGATAAGTGGTTCTCTGTGCCAGGGATTGCTGTGGTCTTCCTGCGGACCTTCAGTGAACACTAAGTTGGGAAAGGGATCATGGCCCTCTCCTTGTAGTGGCTGCTGCGAGTCACGTTCATGGCCCACTGAAAACACACAGCATCTCAGGATTTACATTCCATGTGTTCTCGTCCCCTGGACTTCACGTCTGTGTCTCTTTGCTCATTTCCCCTTTGTCCTGATTTCCTTATTCTCTCCCATTCAGACTTTACATGTATGTGGCTATGTACTCCATTACAGTTTTGTGAGCTAAATGAAATCTTTCTAAGAATAAGGCAGTACATTTAAGTAAAGAGGGCAAAAAACAGAGTAGGCTTTTGTATTGTTTGGTTGTACTTTATCATTAGCAAAAATCAATATTAGAGACAGTCTACTTCAGGGTTGGTAAGGTGTTCAGTCAAGGGCCAGATAGTAAAGATTTTAGGCTTTGCAGACCATGGGGACTCTGTCCCAACTACTCAACTCTGCCATTGTAATTTGAAAGCAGCTATGGACAATACATGAGTGTGGCTGTGTTCCAATGAAACTTTACAAAAACAGGCGGTGGGCCAGATCCTTTTTCATAGTCACAGGTTTCCGATCATGGTCTATTCAATTCCTTATTTAATAAATAAAGAAATTGAAAGGCAGAAATTGGAAGAACTTCCTTAGGAAGGAATTTTCTAAGGTAATACAGCACAGGAGTGACAGTCCCAGAGAACCCATTTGTAATGAGAAAAGTTACAGACAGTCCCAGAGAACCCATTTGTAATGAGAAAAGTTACAGACACACAGATACACCCATGGCTAAATGTGGACACACACATACACTCACCCCACCTCTGTTAAA